GATATTTCGAATAACTCGTCAACTTAATTTATTAATTCCGAATAAATCGAAATTAAATCTGAAAACTCATTTGATTACTGAAATAATTAAACCGAATAATTTATCGACTAATAGTCGAACTTTAACTGAAACTGGATAATTTGGACTTGAACATGAATATTTATTAACAAAGGTTAGCTTAACATTTAAAAACTAATATTTTCCTTTATTAATAAAACTCGGGGTGTTACAACCCACCCTCCTTAAAATATTTCCGTCCTCGGAAATACTAAAACTGGAATGTACAAGCTTAACATGAAGCTTATACTTATTGCTGACATAACTTGAGGGTTCAGTATTGAATACTGAACATTAAACTTAATCGTAACTGAGAAATCAACAATTCACAATTAAGTGAGTTGATGATTAATACTGACTGAAACGGAACACTTTTATAAGATAAAGTGTTCCATTTATTATACTTGACATTAAAAACATAATTCGTAGGTGTACTGGTCTTCATCTCCTGGCTGGTTGTTGCTCTTCAGTCTGAACGTCGATTGTGGTAACTCCCAGTCGTTGGTACAACTGGAAAATTTCAGAGATACGCACATGTACAAATGAGGATAACTAGCAATTCTTGCATCTACCTTTCGTGAATGTCTACTCGATACGCGGCACATCGTTCGCGGCACATTGTAATGCGGCATACCTGCTCCTCATCAAGTGAGTGCGGCACACCTGCATACAGCACCTGGCGAACATTGTACCTGCGACGTCGATATAGTCTGTATGGCTGATCATATCTGTATCTCGGCTAGTAACCTCAATGTACTATAATGCTAACTCTCTGTGACTTCCCAGTGTACTGTGACTCACATGATATGGCATCCTGCTCTCCTGGCGTCATGCACCTTTGAATGGAAAGTTCAGTTGTCATCATGGCATGATTTGTTGTGTTGCTTGGTCTTCTTCGCCGTGTCGTATATCGACATGTTGTACCTGCAACTGTTTACCTTTCCTGAGGTCAAACTTAACCTCAAGAAAAGTTTATCATGAACTGATCTTTCCTACGAGTTATCAAATTATCTGCATTTGAGAATCGAGGTACTGGATATACTTGAAATGACTGATAAGTCTCGTCTTATTAGACAGACTATCCTTGACTAAACATAGCTGGCCTGAGCATTCACATAACTGAATATCCAGGACTTGACTTTTACATGACTGAATCATTCTTTATCTGACCCTCGATAGTTATCCCAAGACAACTAGATGGTCACCTCGGAATTTAGAACATGACATTTACTGACTTACTTGAACTGATAAGGTGCGACTTCAAGTTTCCAGGTAAAATTGGACTAATAGTCTGTATTACAGACCTCCATTTTAACCCGGCTGAACAACTATTATACATCGACCTTAAATCATGAACATTGCCTTTAAATCATGAACATTGGGTCATGACTGTGTACTATATAGGGCTGCTCCAGTATCAACTGGTCCCGCAAGTACTGAATAAATAACTGATCTTGAACTTTGGTACACATCTTTGGTACACATCCGATATGAGACATAAAATTAATCAAAATCTAACAATTTTCCATCTTGACTAATTTTGCTCCCACTCCCAACTCAACTGCTAGCGGTGCCTCCAAATGCG